CAAATAACAAAGTTGGCACAAGAGGGCTTGTTAGTATGTAATGAATATCATAATGTATTATTTACAATGCCTAGTCTCCTTGAGTATGAGCAGATTTGTAAATTCTTTCAGGTTTTCTTGATAAAATAAACTGATGTATCCTATATGATTTATATTTACATATGTAAATCAAAACAGTATGTGTCTAAACCATACATGGAGTAACTAAGTCCAACTGTTTCAGAGCTGGTTGCAAAAAATAATACGGGATAGAGGCAAGCAAAGAAATCTTTGTATCACATTTTTCCTGAGATTACTGCTAGTTATGATACATGTGAATAAACTCTTGACTTCATTGTTTTCTGACAGCAGTGTGAGACAGTGCGTAGATCTTATACTCAGTTTGTGGCAGTCTTACCCATCTAGATTTCTTATTTGCCTAATTCTACAGCACATTTTGCTTGAAAGTGTCAGAGTTTGAAACTGAAATATAAGATTCACTCTGCAATTTTAATAGTTATTTACCTTTGAGTTCTGGTTTTGATTTAGTGTAGATAATGTTTTACACACGAGATGGATAGGGTGTATTTTGTATCTAATATGGAAACACTGATGATTCCATTAGAAATGGTAGCTGCTTGAATTACTGATAGTTATATTGGAATAATTTATCCCATAATTTATATTTTCAATTTAACTCTAGTATTTGAAAGCTGAATGCTGCTGCTGCAGCTCAGGTTGGCATTTCAGTTTTACAGCTTCAGGGTTTCTCTTTTGTTATCATGGAGCTAACGAAGGATTTTTATTTTTCATTTTTAAGCTCACAAACTCTGCCAAAATGTAGGACCTGATATCATGATCAAGAAATTGTGTTGGTTTTTTTTTCTTTGTTACTAGTACTATTTAGATCTTTAACCTTAGTAAGAACTAGACATGGAATTCAGGCATTGGTCCACAGAACTGCATATGGCTTCTTATTAATGTTCAAAGGCTAAAAATCTGAAGCCATTCTGAACTCAGAACCCATCATGTATTTATTTCCCTCTCTAATTTGCAGAAAACTAGTTGTGAAAACAGCCCAAGGGACCTGCTATTTTTCCATCCCAGCTGCTCCAGCTGAACTACAGCTGCAAAAAAAAATATCTAAGTATTGTTTCTATAAACTGTTGAGTGTATTTTATAACACAATAATTCCCACAAAATCAGTAACTGCAGTTAATGACCGGTTTGTTAAGGCATTAACTGCACTCAGCTGGGAGTGACCAATTTCTCTGGAATGGCTGTATAAGAGCTAAAGATAATTCAGTAACACTTTCAAATAATTATTTGGCTAATTAATGGTAAATTCTTGTGGAAATCCTATCAAAGTACTTGCAACCCCCACATTTAATATCCAATGAGTTCATTATGATTCATGTTTTATTGCCATAAATACCAGAAGAATCCATAATGACTAGGCCATTATTTTCCAGGGCTGCACTTACTGCTTTAGGCCATTTGGCTATTCCACCTTCAGTCATAAAAAGCTTGATGCTCAAAACTACCAGCATTTCTAGGCCACAACTTTCTGGCACCCCACCAAAACTTTGCTGATTTTTATGAACACGTTTGGCAGAGATCTCATATTTCTTTTCTTTCTCTTGCTTTTTCTAGTTAGGGGAATAGTTGATGCCTACTGTACCAAGTCATAAGGAAGTCTTTCTTGCAGTGTCTGCATTTTCATGTGTGGCCTTCAGTAGTGGTCAAAAATAGCAGAGAAGGTATCACTTCCATGCTTTGGAAAGCTGTTCTCTAGCCAGGTTACTGGGCAGGGTTTGAAATTTTTGCAGCCAAGTCTCTAAACAGTGATTGATTTAGGGCTATTCATTAGAATAGCCCTAACAATTCATTAGAATTCAGATGAGTATAAAATATTTTTTTAAGAGTAAGCATGTTCAAGTAATAGTCAATAACTGCCAGTTTGTTTTTGGGAGTAAAGTCCCTGTGTACAAGGATGGCAGGTGGCTTGGAGGATTTTTCAAAACAGTCTGTCACTTATTACCCTTTTATGCAATGTTCAGCCTACAAGGTGATGCTTAATGTGCAAAATGCTGTAGGTGTTGAATCTGTTCTTTTCCTGATTTTTGACAAACCAGTTATGCAGGCTTTCCAGTGAACTTCCCAACATGTTGTATGCTTCCTAATGGAGCACAGGATCAACAAAGGCATTTTATCATGCTGGTTGTGCTTAGAAGCAACTACCACCGCTTGATTTTCCTGAAATGTTTGATTCTTTGGATTGCGAGTTGCCACTGTTTTACATAAGAACTGAAAAGAGTCAGGAGACTCTGCTTTTTCTCCACCAAAGTACTTCCACAGGGAAAGTGGGACAGTGAAACTTCCAGAGATCATCTTGCAATTCATTCATTTCTAGAAAATTAAGATGAAATTAAACTTAAATTGCAAACACTATTAAAAAATTAAAAGCTGTGCACTGTTTCCTTCTAGCTTTAGTTCTGTAGTTTATTTTCATCTTCAGGCTAGTAGAAGTCAGGATCTTTTCCTGTTTATTCACACTTGTAAAATACTTCCTTGCTGAGCCTGTGCATTAAGTGTCTGTGACTTAAATGCTCTAAACCCTTCTCTGTTCTCTGTGTTGACAGTAGGATGGGAGTGGAGGAAAAATGGATCAGTTAACTGAACAGCAAGAAAGAATTTAAATTCAGCTTCTCTTTTTGAAACTGAAGCTGTCTTTGCCTTGTGTGTAGTGAAATCTGCCTTATGGGACATACTTTCAGAGAATGATTTAAGTGCCAGTCATTAAAAACCAACACTTTAAGAGTTCATTCAGATAAAATAAATTTATTTGAATTCTGGTTATTCTTCACACTTCAGGTTGTGTATCTAGGGGTTTTATACTATTTTTGGTAGTTTAGAAACTGAAGCAGTGCTGCCATTCAGCACTGATACCCAAGGTGTTATTCAAACATCAGGAAGGTTATTGGTACAGACTGGACCTTTGAAAAAAGAAGAGAGAAAATTCTTTTTAAAATACAGAAGGCCTTTGCTGCCATCTTCAAGTTATTTTCAATACTGGTAGCTATTTAAAAATATGCTACCAGTATTGACAAATACCAGGAATTGATTGCTATCAAATATAATAGTGTATCTTAGCTGATACTATATCTTAGCATGAGTGAAGCTTGCTAAAGTAAGGAGAAGAAAAGCCACAAGAAGGACAGAGGCTAAACAGATATGAAGTAGCATCGTTCTTGTTGACTGCCTGCTGGTTGGTACCTGCTGAAAGTCTGATCCAACCTCACTGGAGTTTATTTCTCCTGTTCTGGGGTCCCAGCTTTCCTCCTTTTGTGCCATCTTGCCTTTTATGTCACATAGTGTTTCTGGCATTATCCAACAAAGTGTAACTGTAATTTAAGTCTTGATGTTTGAGTCTTAGATAGAGGTATGAAAAGAAGTGTTTTGAACAACATAAACAGCACTTTTTTTTCTAGCTCCATGAAATTCAAAGGCATAATTTACTCTTTAAATTTTTATATTTACTTAGAAGACTCTAGCTATACATATGGGAAGTTTTTTTTTTAATATAATTGTTGGATTTACAATGTCACTACAAGTGAATAGGTAAGATGAACGGTCACAATAGAAGCAGTTTGTTTTCTTAAAACAGTTTAAACTATAGTACTGTCTGTGCTTTTATTTTCGTTGTAACTAGAGTAGCTTTCAAATTTGGGCATTATCCTTTTTCCAGCTGTTAAGTGTGTGGAAGGTTGTGATACAGGTCACGTTTTTTCAAACAGGTAAGAATTCAGAAGGATCTGAAAGATCAGCTGTGTGTTTAGGTTTGGCATAGGAAAGAATACTTCACTGTTGTATGGCAACTGCCAGAAGGGTTTCGTGGGTTGTTTTTTTAAATTAAGTTTTGAATAAAGGCATGAATATGCATTTGAAGGATAAAGGCATCATATCCTTGTGGCTTAAAGGAAATTCCAGCTCCCAGTGATGTATGCAGAAGAAAAATTTAACTGTGCTGGTTGCTGTTTGAGGTCTTGATGATTTGCCAAAGTGTTAAACAGATATGTTCTAACTTAGCTTAAATTGAAGTGGGAGGTAGGATATTTCTGATCATTAGTATAAGAACTGTGAATACATTGTAAGTTGGTGACCTTACTACATCCTGGTCTAACTAAGATTCATGTTCAGATGAGTGTTTTGTCCCATATATAGCCAATATCCTGCTAATGTAGGGTTAGAGAAGACCTCGAGGGAATGCTCAGTCCAGATTTCAGCAGTGAGTCAAACACGTCTCTGTTGTTCTTAAACATTTGCACGTTTGTCTAAGTTGGTTTTATAGAATCTTTCAGTTATGCACTTCACATCCTACTCAAGTTAACTGCTCCAGTTTTTCTTGAGAATCTTTTTCTCTTTGCTAAGTATTAATGTGAAAATATACTATTGCTGTATTTGAAATGTATCAAACACAAAAGGCACCCAAACAATAATATTGTCATTTAGGATAAGAAAACAATATGTGACTTACTAGAAAGGCAGTGGGTTCCTTCTATGATGCTTCTTAGTGGTAGTTATTTTTCTTTCTGGCATTGGTGCATTCTTCATCATTTTACTTTGAGACAAATTTGTCTCACCAGGAGTCTCTACAGCAAAGTTGGCATTACATTTGATACTTAATTTCTTAGCTGTAAACTGATGGAGGCTTCCTCTGAATGGCCTAGCATTGTTAAAAGAGTTCCTTTCACAAAATATATTGCTGGCAAAGTGGCATTGGGGAAATGTTTGGAGGTGCTGGTGAGAGGGGGAGCAGTCAGCATTGCCTTTTTCCCTCTTTGCACAAACACATTTGGATAGGCCAGGCAAGACTTGTTCATCAATGTTGCATTGCTGATTTAAATTTTCCCCTCTATTAGCTCATTTTTGTGCTTTTTGTCTTCTTATTTTACATCTTTACAATACCTAAAATACCCAAATTCTATTAACATGGATTTTTTTTTTCCTTCTCCTTCTAGCAAATGAAAGCTACAAACAAATAGCAATGTGTATTCTGTATCACATAAGCATGGATGATCGCTTTAAGTCAATGTTTGCCTACACAGACTGTATCCCACAGGTACGTGCTTTTATGTGTGAAGACCTGGTGCTAAGCTGCAGCTTTCCTTGTGCAGCTCTTCTCACTCATTGCAGAGCTCGCACTGACACCCACAGGGGAAACTGGGAACAATCACGATGCTGCTGAGTCGGTAGTGAACCATCTGCTCATGAGAGCGTCTTGAGTCTTCTTGCTGTCTTTTAACGGTCCCCAGTTAAAGGATGGGTGACACGTTCTCTGTCAGTGCTGCTAAGACTTGAGATGCATCAATGAACTGGTAAAAATACGGGTGACCTGCTGAATTCCTACAGAACTCTTTCTTGAAAGAGATTAAAGCTCATGTACAGCAGGTCCTTAGGGAGCCTTGTGGAAAGTATTTCCTTTACTGTTTTGGAAGGCATTCTTTTCTGATCCCATTGGGTATCAAAATTTCAATGTCTCCCATGTTACAGGATATGAACTGGAAAGGAGCCAAGCACTGTTAATGTTGCTATAAGACAATTCCAACTGCAGGCATGTACAACAGGGGAAACTCGAAGACTATGGAAGGCTCTCCACCTATCTTGCAGGCTGCAGTTTGTTGCATAACTTTTGGTCTCCAGTCATAGTCTTTGATCCAAGCACAGACACAGCATCAGGGCTTTTGGGGATTTGTTTTGGGTTTTTTGTGTATGTTTTTTGTGCTTTTTGTTGTTTGTTTGTTTTTAACGAGTACCAAATCTTCTCTGCATGATCTGTTTCTGAGTCCTGATGAGGCTGGAGTTGAGAAAGCCTGTATTACATAAATGTAAAAGCTCTCTGGTACTTTTTCAGAATTACACCACGTTATCTTCTTTCCTGCCAAACATGTTTTTAGTATCAAATACATCCAGAATGGGAAGTTGCCATGGAAAGTTTTCAGAATGTTTCTGTTCATTATCTCATGACAAAAATGGTGATGTTTTTTCACATACAGGGGGATTTTGGAGAATGGAGAGGGGAGAACTCGTGGGACTAACTGGTATATGTTACAAAATGGTCTTGTAAACTGTCTTTTCTGTCACAAGAAACAAGTATATGTTAAGACATTTGCCTGATATAAGGGACCTTGGTTGGTTCTGAGCAGTTATGGCCAAACCAGAATCATGCACTGCTGTTCCGGGCTCGCTTATGACGTGCTTCTAGGGAATCTTGGCATGACTCTTGGATCCCCAGTGCCAAATGTAGAGTTGTGGAAACTTCACTGATATCATACTCTGAGCTTTGGTGACTATCATTGTTCCGATAGGCAGTGACTGCTCAAAGGAGTGCTTACTGAGCTGTCACCAAAGATGGGAAACAAGTCCTCTGCCTTAATTGGACTTGGGCTAAAATGACAAAATTCGCAGGATACCTGTGGCTATTGATGCTTAGTGGTCAATTTAATTATTCACAGATCACACCTGCTGACTGTTCAGAAAGGACCAGCTAGACAACCAGAGCTTAAATTTGATTAATGAATGTTCAAAATCAGGATGGTTACTACAGAAGACAGAGGTAGTAGAAAACAAGGGGAAGTGGACAAGGCAGCAGGAAAAGACAATGACCTTTTTAAAAGGACTTCCTGCCATCTGATTCTACCCTGGAAAACTAAATTCTTTACAATAGCAGTGTGTGCCCTTTTGTGTTTGTTTTTTTTTTCCTGTTGAGGAAAGGTGTGCATCTAAACTGGCAAATGCCCCCTAGTGAATGTTGTCATTTTGAACAGACGAAGTGCCTGACGGGCTTGCACGTGCTGTCCCAGGTAAACATCCTTGTGGATTGCAGGAGTTAGTGGGTGCTATTCTAGTAACAGTTAAAAGTGAGTATTAACAGTTCATTCTTGTTTAGACCTCAGCAATGCGTGTTTTGTTTAAATAGGTGCAAATGCCATCCAGATGCTTATAAAAGCCTTTATTGGTAATAACCTGGCCAATCAAAGGGCATGGTTAGGCAGTGATGTCATGGTGATATTTAATATTTTACCGCAGAGCAGTGTGCAAGGTTCTCCACAGCTACCCACATGTTTTCCACCATGGTTGTCCTGTTTGGCCCCTCTTTGATCTATAAGCTTCTTTTCAGCTTAATGCTGGTAAACGTCCTCTCTTGACAGCACCCTTTGCTCCTGTCCGCCATTATCTGCTGAAGTTCAGAAACCAGAGCATCACTTCAAACAGCAGAGTTAGGGAGTAGCCAGTCAGGAGAGATTCCTGAGGCATGCAGTTCTGGCATAATCATTCAAAGATGTTTGAGCTGGGCCTGGGGAGGGGGTTGGACAGAGGTGTATGTGAACAGAGAGCTGTGGGGGTTGGCCTCTGGTCACTGGTAAATAAGTGAAGGCAGGTGCCAGAGAGTCTAGACACAGTGATTTCAACCCTGGTCTGTGGTATCTGATACTCAATATGGGACTTGTCTGATTGAACACTACTGCCTCTTCATTGCATATGCTGCAGTCTTTTTACTGCCTTCCTGTTAAATCAGTAAAAGATGACAATGGACATAGTAAAAGCAGAACAAATTTAATTTTAATATTTCCTATTTGGCAGCAATTACTCTTCCTTTTGAAGTGGCACAAGAAGCAATCAAATTAAATGAAGACATAATGGGAAACATGGAGCTCGTACGAAACTATTATTTTAAAATTTGAACAGCTTTAATTGAAACTGGATATATTTTTTCTTTTTATAGAGAAGTAGTTCAGTAATTAACAGTGTAATCCCATCTTGTTAAACATCTAATTTCCACAGATTTTGTATTGTGTAAGTAATGAGAATGTTTCCCTTCAAATTATTTGAAGGGTTTTTAAAATCTGTTTTTGAAAGGTTTTGTAACAGAAGAGTTACAGGGGGTGATTTTTGAATGCTTATGTTCTACTTGTTAAGTGGCAACTTTCTTCTCTGGATAATTCACTCTTATGTGACTGTCAGGCTTATGAATTTAATGAACTATGGGTTTTTTAAGTTCTTAAAACAGCCTAGGGAAATCCAATTCTGTATTTTTAAGACAGGGAGAAATAAATTAGTGATAGCTTTTAAATTAATACATGTAAGTCCCAGAAAAATATTTATATTGTAACCTAAATATGTTGGGGTTTTTGTTGGTTTTTTTTTTTATTTGGGCACCATTTGGAATGACAGCCCACTATCAGAGAAACTTACAGAATTGCTGTAGTAAAATACTTTGGAATAAAATTCCTGCAATGATTGTTTTTTCTCTCTGCTCCAAATGGGTTGTTTACCCACTCTCTCTTGTGTTTAATTCATTATAATCTGTCTTTCCACCAGGGGGCAAGCACACAAATATTTAATTAGTTGCTTATTTTGCCCCCCACGCCTTTTTGACAGTCTAAGTTACTTTTTTTTTTTTTGTATCTTACCTCCCACTTATCTTTAGGTTCAGTTGTTTCTCCTTCTAGCAATCTCAGTCCTGTCATCACACTGCTGTGCATTATAATCTTGATGTGTCTTATGATCTGAACAGGTTTTAGGAGCAAATGGGGTGATGTCCTGCAGCCCCTCCATGAGGAAGCCATGCAGTTTGTTTGCCTTGGTCAGAAGTAGAGAAGAGGAGGAGGATGTGTTTGGGTCATATTTCTGTATTCAATATGCCATTTCCAAAAATACTCGCATTGAACCAAATGAGACTAGGTGGCCTGTGATGTAATGAACAATACAGGTGCCAGATGAATAAAATTATGGCAATGCATAGGTTATTTGCCTAAGGAATCACCTAGGAATTCACTGCCACTTATGGAACAGTTGGAGCAGCATTATAGGTGATTGTTGACTTTTGGTAACTTTGGTTGCTCTGTACTGTGCTGAGAAGTCTTTGGCATGTGGCAGCATTCAGCAATGGTAGCTGCCAAGATATAGCACCTTGTTGCAGATATACTACAGCTAATTTACTTATCAACGGAGTAACCTCAAAGCAAAATATTATTCTGCAATTAAATATCTCTTTACAAAGTCATACATTTATTGAACAACCAGGTATTAATCTGACTTTCTGTGGAACTATGTTGGGTTTTTTCTATATTAAATAGAGCTAAACTTTCAAAACAAATGTATCCATTTGCAAGTTTAGGAAACAGGAAAAATAAGAAAAAATCAATGGTAGCAATAAAAGGTAACTAACCCAAGTTACTTTAAGGTGATGAGTGACTGCCATTTTTGGCACTTTATAAGCATTGCTATGCCAAGAAAATGGAACCATACATCTTGTGCCCTTGACCTTTATAACTTCACTATACCTGTAGAAATGCTGAATATTAATTCCAAAAAAAAAAAAAAGCTACTGTGGTGGACATCATAACATTGCTCTACTAATGCTTTGGGAAGATTAATGACTGAAGTGATTTTGTGTTTCTTGGCAGTTAATGAAAATGCTTTTTGAATGTCCTGATGAGCGAGTTGACCTGGAACTTATTTCTTTCTGTATTAATCTTGCTGCTAACAAAAGAAATGTGCAGCTTATCTGTGAAGGTAAGCACACTGAAATTTTGCTGTCCATCTTGGAGATGACAGCACTTCTTTTATATATATATATAGGTACAGATAGATACATATATACACACCTACATTATTCATTATGTGTATATGAGTAATTTATTCACTTATATATGTATTAAAAAATTTAAATGGTACCTGGTTGGCTAATCTTTCCAAGCAAATGGCTGTATTCTGTCCAAAACTGGTCTTGGCAGCAGAAATAATGCTGAGTAGCCACACATGCCCACATCACTCATAGATGCATATGGTTCTGTAAAACACCCGGATGGGATTGCTGTGGGAAATTATGGCTGTGTGGAGAGATGAAGATTTTGTTCTATCTGATGCCTAAAATCCATCTTCAGCTAATCAGTGTTTCACCTGCCAGTACCAAATTACTGTGCTATTAATGTTGTTTAATTGTCTCTTTCCAGTAACATTTTTAACTTAGCATCTTTTGGATTCTAGTACTTTTCTAACATGGTATAGGTAGGTTCAGCATGTCATTCAGTAGCACTCTGGATTGCTTTTGAAGTTTCATTATTTTCATATGAGCAGTTTTAAGTGGAATATGATGATTATTCAGTAGCTCTAATTTTCACTTATGCTCAAAATTTTCATTATGGACTGCTGTAATAATTTACTGGACTTTAACAGGGGCAATTGTAGTTGATGGATTCTGTGACCAGCAATTCCATTTGAAAATTCTGTGCAAAACTCCGGAGAAAAAGAAGCAGGGAGATCCCATTTTATATTAAAGTTAGAAATGAAATTCAAGCTAGTAGCTCTTATTAGATAGGCAAGGTGATCTTTTGGAAACTGAATCGTAGCAGTGGGGTTTGCCCTGTGCAATCAAGTACTTCAGATTCAGTGTGTTTGTTATGTGTATTCCCACATAGCTTATTTACCAGCCATGTAAATTATTTTTAAAACCATAACAATGCATTTATTCCATGGAGTGAGGAAAGAAGTTTCTGAGCTAGTACCAACAGCTGGGCTACATCTCCACTAACTGCACTTGATGACAGGATAATGGTTCTGATCTAGAACCTTTATTGGTCTGAATAAATAACTAAGCACACTTGAAGCATTTATTTAACTGAATTTTTAAGTGTCTCACTAGTACAAAATAATTGTTTAGAAAAGCTGTAGAATTTATATGGATCATGTCTTCTATTTTTCAACTGAAACTTGGAAGAAGAAGTAGTTCCTGTCTAGATTCTTCACTTTTTCCTTTACAACTTTAAAAAGTTAAAGCTGCTTTTGTGTGTGTCTGTGTGGTGGTATTGGTCAGTCCTTTCCTCAATTTTTTTTTTTTTATTTAGAGTATTTCCTAAGTATTTGTTTCTTTTCAGGAAATGGTTTGAAAATGTTGATGAAGCGTGCTCTGAAATTTAAGGACCCATTGTTAATGAAGATGATCAGGAACATCTCGCAACATGATGGACCAACTAAGAGCCTGTTTATTGTAAGTGCTCTCTAATGCCTGATGTGATCTTTGATTCTTCCTACTGAAAGAAACTGACTTTGGAGAGCTGCTGTGTTTTGTCTTTACAGGGTGTCCAGTTTAAGTTTTCTTGGCTGTCATGGGTTATTTGTTTTATTTTATAAGGCTATCTCAGTTGGTAATCAGGGTTTGGATCCCTCACTGGAAGAACAGATCTTAAGCTGTGTCCAACAAGTCCCTGTTCCAAAACAAGCACAAAAAAACAAGCAGACAAAAAAAAAACCCTGACTGCTGGGGTATACATTGTAAGAATTAACAGTTGTTCTAAATCTCTGCTTTTGAAGCTAGAGGGCAAAATAAAGTGTTGTTTTTTTTTCTCTGTGCCAAATGTTTTGTATACGTGGCTATTTTGAGATTTTGAATACTTAATATTCAGTTAAGCACATAAAGCCACCCTTTCAAAAGAAGGAGGGAAAACTCAACATCCCAATTGTGGAAATTTTAATTGTACTGTTAAAATGAGAATTGAATATCTAATTGTCTTGAAGCAGTAAGGAATTAATAAGTATAATCTGTGATGGTTTCACATCCCCAGCAAATTTTGTAGTTAATTCTCAAATTCTTCAGGAAGAGCACTCCATTACTGTCAGTAGTGCAGTATGGTGTTTGCTGTTTTCTTTCCTTAACTTTCTAACAGCTATCTCAAATTGTGTGGATAGTAGCTACTTTGGAACATCTGAACAAATTATCTACATCTATGAAAAATGAAAGGATGGAGAAGAAGGATGCTGGAATGCTTTCCTGGATTATTCTTCAACTGAACTTGGAAGTGTCTCATTTCAGGAGAGAAGTCTCCTTAGCATTCTTTTGAGAAGTATTTTTTAATTTGACCAAGTTGTGAGTTCTTCAGAACTCCAGATGATTAATTCATAATGTTTGTTTCTGTGTTTTCTTTAGGACTATGTTGGTGATTTAGCAGCTCAAATATCAAATGGTGAAGAGGAGGAATTTGTGATTGAATGCCTGGGAACACTTGCAAATTTGACCTTACCAGACCTGGACTGGGAACTTGTACTGAAAGAGTATAAACTGGTTCCATACCTCAAGGATAAACTAAAACCAGGTCTGTACAAAGTTTGATTAGACTTTCAAAGTAGAGTCTCTTGAAGAATCCTTAGTGCTCTTTCAGAGCAGACTCTGTTTACCTTTATAATTTGTGTTTGTTTGGGGAACCATATCTAAAAATAAATACACAACTGCCACAAGATCAAGAATTTCTAAGAGGTAATATTTCCTGCCTTCTGACTTCCTAGGTTCTGCAGAAGATGACCTGGTTTTAGAAGTGGTGATAATGATTGGAACAGTTTCTATGGATGACTCTTGTGCTGCTCTGCTGGCTAAATCTGGAATCATCCCTGCACTCATTGAGCTTCTAAATGGTACATTGTCATGTTTAACTTTAGGTTGTCCTTTTCAGAGAAGTTAAGTTGAAGTAGCTGTGCTGTGACCGAACACATCATTTGTTTTTTCTGGCAATGCAGGGGTAGATGTTTTGGATGTGAATGGAGGCGCAATTACTCTGTTATTGGTAGGGAGTTACTGACTAGAGGTCTAATAGATTTGGTTTTTCCACACTTCCTACTGCTGCAATCTGTGGGCTTTTTACTTGACTGGAGCAGGGAAGAAAACATTCTTTTTGTGTTGTCAGGAGATGAAATCTCACATACCACTGAACTATCTAGCTGATGTGTAAGAGCTGGGGTTTCTCTAAGCATCAAGAGCTTCTGGTGGTGAGATACATAATTGTGGTGTCTTTTTTTTTTTCCTTGCAGCTCAGCAAGAAGATGATGAGTTTGTCTGCCAAATCATCTATGTATTTTATCAGATGGTTTTCCACCAAGCCACCAGAGATGTCATTATCAAGGAAACCCGTATCTTTTTAATGATTAAGCATCTAGAATTGCAGCACTTGATTTGCCATTGCGGATGTTTTGGCCTGTATTTCTCCTGCATAAACCTCCTGAGCTCAGAGGTTTATTTGTAAATACTTCATTTCAGCTGAATCAACAATCCAAGCAAATGTTGAGGGATTGCAAGATTAATACTAAAGATTACAAGTTAGTTTGCTTTGAAACAGGGAGGGAGTTAGGAACGGGATCACGTGTTAGTTCCTATCCATTCTGAATTACGGTGTGAATTTGTTTTGTAAATGATAGTGAACATCTTAGTCCATAGAAAAACTTTATATAGACCACAGACAAACTTGCACTGCACCATTATGCATAAATGTTCCATAGTCTAAAGTTCTGTGACATTAAGATACTTTGATACTATTTCTTCTTATCTCAGTCTAAACATAAATAATGCCTGCTCTGCATTTTTGTCCACCTAATTCTTTGAATTTTATGTGTCGACTCCTAGGTGGCTAGCTTTAAATTTATTTTTTTAAATTGCATTTCTTTTTATATCTGTAAAGATAAAACAGCAACACTGAACACTTTTCTCACTCAAATTGAACAAGACTAGTATTAATGCTATCATTTGCACAATGGATCATCTGAAATATATGATGTGATCCTTCTAACAAATAAAATCATGGTTGGGGAAAGGCTTCTGAACTTCATGTGTGATGGAAAATTCTTGACTATGGTTCTTGCAAGGACCCCAGGCTGTGGAAAAAAAATAAAAATAGCTTTTATCCTTAACAGTTTCTTTCCAGAGGCTCCAGCATATCTTATAGACCTGATGCATGATAAAAATGCTGAGATTCGCAAAGTTTGTGACAACACTCTGGATATTATAGCGGTAAGTCTGAGTTTTTTAATCCTCTGTCCTTCAAAAACCTCTTTACATTAGGTTATTTTAAAATAGCTACGTAGCAGTAACTTGCAAGTTGAGAATATTTTTTTTTAATGTGCAACTTTGTAATCACATAGGTGAGAATTCAATTTTCATGGGGCAATGACCATCATTAATCTAGGTTATGTACCAAACTTACAACAAGTGCATAGATGCTTTGACAATCCATACCAGTTAGCTTTATACTACAGACATTTTAAAAGGTACTTTTATGCTTAAATTATTCACATTACATAAGTATGTCAAGCTTTCATTATTTCTTAGTTCTCCAAACAAATGGCTCTTGTTACCCAGCAGCTTTTATTCAGCTTTTCTGCGTTGCCTGATGCCAATACTTGTTTCAAAAAGAGAATATGGGCAGTGATCCTGAAGCTGGTTGTTTTCTGCTGGGGGAACAGTCAGTATAGTTTTGAATTTCTTGATATTGTCTTCAGCTCTTGGTTAGGTTTCCTTTAGGTGCACAGCTTAGTTTGTCCAGCTATCCATTGATCACAATAAGCTTTTGGGACAGTTGTTTTGTATTAAACTGCTAACTTGGAAAAAAGAGAGAATGCTAAATTATGAAGTGCTATTGCTTTATCATCTCTTGTAGTGTGTATAATTTGCTTCTGGGGATCCTTGACTCTAGAAGCATTAGTATTTTCTAGTTTGCTCATCATTGAGGTAAAGACATAATGAAACTGATTTCACTTAGAAATTGCATTTCATTGTTAAAATTCCTCCTGGCCTGTTTGCTTGAGAAAAAGGAATGTCAGCATTTTGTAGTGTCTTAATATTATAAAGGCTGTCCATCCTTTTGGATATAGAGTAGCCTATAATGAAATTAAATCTTACAGCCAAAGAGAACTTAACTATGAGTTGAGCAGTGCTTTTGCCTTAAAGCTTTTCCTGTCATCTACTTGGGTTTCTTCTTTAGCTCAATTCTGGATATTGCAGCTTGTTCTCTGAAAGGTTTAATGTAGCCTAAGACCTCACTCACCCTGCACAGCACTGTAGTCTAGTTTCTCTTTTTCTGTTCTACTTTTTGGTAATGCATTCTAATTTAATATTCATCAAAGAAAGAAGTAGAATGATATAACATTTTCTGTGATGAAATTCTTTTTATCTGGCTCTGTTTCTGCTTTATGGAGGTATGGAATGAAGTTCCTTCTCTTAATGGCAGAGATGCTTTTGGCACTCATTAAAGGAAAACTTGCAACTAAATTTGCACCTAGTATTTAGATTTACCGTGGGCATTCTGTTCAGCTTACCAGGTTCAGTTGTTTCCAGGGACATCTCCAGTGGAAACAGCAGAAAGTTTTTTATCTTGTAGGTGAGGCTGGACAATCCTAGTGCTTCCAGTGCTTGTTTTATCTTGGGACTGGTGCCAATTCCAATCATCTCAGGTGCTGATTTGTTTATATGGGGGAGCTTTGTAACATGGTACATAATTCTTCAGGATTTTTGCTATTTTACTATTTACTAGTTTTTTACTAGGTTTTTTTTACTATTATTTTAGTAATATTATTAAGCAATATTTATTTTTATAGAAACTAGAAGAATAAACACATTCAGACATAGCTTCATATTCAATATTAACACCTGAATAAAATGTACTTAGCTGTTTTTTTCCTTCCTAAGAAGAGGCAATCTTTATGCCAGCCATAACATATGGCAAATGATGAGCGCTGTGATAACAGATGGGCAAGAGTTATCAACTTACCAGAAGCACTGGAGAGGAGTTCTAAGGCCTTGAGGAAGAATAAAAGGAGGAGATGATGTGGTGCTGCTCTTGTTGAGGGTAAAAGAGAAGATATCAAGCACATACTGAGAGTAGTTTTGAGTAGCAATAAATCCTTTTTATTGGTTGCGGAGCAGTCCACACTTAGAGTGGTGTTCACTGGTAAGTTAGTAGAGATGCCTGTCTGAGAAGGCCCATTTAAGTTTATTTTCTAAATATTATATAGTTGGGTTACAAGTTGCAGAAACTGTAACTAACATCATGCCCCTGTGGGGAACAGGAAGCACACTATGCCCCCTTTTCAGGAAGGCAGAGATAACCACCAGTTGATGGCTTTCTCACAATGTTGTAAGCTGGCTGCACCAAAAATCACAGGCAAAAAAAGCAACATGTTCTAGGTAGGGATGGGAGAAAGTATGAAACAGTAAGTTATCAGAACCTCAGATTTTAATAGCTGTTTTGTCATTCAGCTCAGAGGATATGGTGGAGCAGCCTGTGAAGACTGAGGTGTTTGGCTTTGTGGCACTTCTAACTCCACCAATGCCTTCTGAGGTGTCTGAGCAGTCTCTAAGATTGGTGAAACTACTTAATCTGTGCGAAATCCACGTTGAGAAAAACTTTAACTTTCTGTCGTCTTGTTCCATACATGGTGACAGGATTAGTTCCTCTGATGATGGAAATCAGAAACTAAGTGTTGGAGAATAGAGATCTGAAAGTAGTTTCTTCTCAGGGAGACAAATGCTTCTTTCACTCATCAATAAGCTCTATATAGTGTGATTAAAATAACACTGAAGAAAATCAGATGCCTTACAAGCCTTAGGGGAGATATGCTTTCTGTAGTAAAGTTATTGTCACAGAAACTACGGAAATGTTACACTAGTGATGATTTGTTTAATATAGCTTGGCTGGACTGATTGATGAACTGAAACAGATGTGCTGCTTTAGCATAGTATGTACTGAGGAGTCTTAGCTTTGCACTGGTAGCTGCAAGATAACCCTTTTGTCAGAAAGAGGCTACATTGGTAATTTAGGACTAGTTAAGTCTCCTGTCATGTGCTGAGTCTTGACACTAAGCAACTAGTTTACTGTACTTGTATACCTAAAGCACGACAGGTCTCATGGCTCAGGTGAAAGCTTGGGATCAACAGTTGGTGTAGGAGTCTCAGGCAAATGAAGTTCCCTTTTCCTCTGCCTCAGAAGCCTGGGCACCTGCAACTCAAAGCTCATGGAAAGAAATGTCAGCTTACTCAAGATGGTCTTACTCTGTTCACCTCGGACAATATAACCAAGAGCTGGAGGGGTTTTTAATCTCTCAGGTTTCTCATTCTTTCTCTGCTTCTAGCTCAGTCTTACTACAGGTAATTGATTTTCCTCATTTATTCAAAGGATTTTTAATTAACCACAACCAGGTCTTTGGACTGTGTAGTCTGAGCTTCCCCCCCTTCCTTCATTTCCCCCCATTTTTCCATTCAGTGTTTTTACAGGTTTGAATCCAGGCCTGTTGTACCATCTTGTTTCTCTTATGATCAAGAGTGGGTCATTATTCTTCCTGCAGAAGTAAAACATCATCTAAATAGTTACAGCATTGTCTGTGTGATTAAGGAAGGGCCTCATGCCTGAGGTGTTTTTCCAGCTCTTGTTCTTTGCCTCAAGTATTTTGTAATGAATGCCAAATAAAGTTTGCTTCTCATGGAAAGCTAGGTTAATGAATGGCTTGCATCCTTCCATGCTAGCTAAGTGCCCTGACACAAATCCTCCATGTTGGGAATGCTGGAATTTCACATAAGAAGCAGGAATGTGCTGTGAGCCCTCAGTGCTGTGGGATTTGGAGCCAGCTGTGCAAGACGTTGCCCAGCTCTCTTAGAATCAAGGAAGAGCAGACCACAGGGATTTGGTGTTGGCTTTATTTGAAAAGGCAGTGTACTCTGAAAATAGATAACCTTTGACTCCAACTTGGTGTCCTCTTTCCACAAAGAGTGCTGTAGTCACTCCAGGAAAAAAAATCTCCCTTTGCTTGTCAAGGCTCCCCCTTTCTGTGTTGACTCTTGTTCCCCTGTTATCCTGTAACAATGATGGATATGGAGAGGTGGGCAGAAGAGCAGCCAGGGTGTGAGGCTGCAGGGTGCAGAGTTGACATGTGTTTTCACTGATCAACTCCTGCATTGTTAAATTTGCAACCAGTCTGCTTTGGTGCTGGTAGCTTTTTGTGGCAAAGACCATGCAGCCAGCAGGAAAGGCTCTTCCTGGACAAGAAGAACCATCACACTGCAGGCAGCACTGGATAGGGCAGGTGTGTCCTGATCCTTTTTGTCTTCACATAAATCTACATAGGACAGAAATCCTTCTAGCACTGGTGCTTGCTCTTTGGAGTTGTAAGATTAGGAAGGTTTGCCAAACCCCTGACCTCTGTTACTGATATAACAGCTTGCCTGTGAGAGACCTTACATTCCTCCAAAGGAAAAAAGGTATTCCTCTTCAGCTATTGACAATACAGGAACCCTATGGACAGTGTCCATTTTATGAAGGCATCTGAATTTAGGGACCACAAACACTTTCTCTGCCTTGCCATTAGTTTCATATCCCAGATTTCTGTTAGCTTCCCATCAGAATGTATATTTGGTGATGAACCTAACTGTGAAGAAGTGACTCTGAGTTTCACTGGTGTAAGTGGTAGAAGGTTTCTTTTTTTGGCCTGTGAATGAATTTCTCTCCTGTGGTATTTACCCAAAGGTAGGTGTCATAGACACCTGCAGAAGGTGATCCATAACATCTGGTTCTCTCCTTGGTTTAGAGAGGCACATAGTTCAAATTACATGCTTATCCAAAAGGATAGCTAGACAAGATAAATCTTTTCTTTGTTAATAAGTGGCTAATTAGACCTTTAATGTAAACTGTGTGTTTTAGGGATGGTTAAATAATGAAGAATGTAACATAACAACTACAGCCTTGAACAAAACGAGCATTCTACTTACTGTATAGCAGTTTCAGTTTAGTATGAGGAATCACATCAAATGAACCCTATTACAGACCCAATTAAAGGGCAACCACATTAAAGTGAAAAGGAAAATCTGTTTTTCATCAGCTGAGAGAGAACACAAAGCAGATCTGTGTAGCTCTATGTTATCCTATAGTGTGTTAATCAGATACAAGGTGTGACGGAAGCCAGTGACAAAGGGGACCCCTGATAGGGAACAGACATGCTCTGATAATAGGCCAGTTAACGCTTCATAATATTTCAATGGTTCAGTAGTAAACAAAGTTGGAAGTAGAACTTCAAAAAGGATGGCACATTCCTCACAGAGTCAAACCATACATCTTCTATGACACTCTTGGATTTATGGAAACCGAATGTTAAAAACAGTGATGTCAGGGAGCTCCAAGGAGAATAAAATCAGCCTTTGGGATTCCTGCTTTTATGTTTCTGAATGTACAATATTTGGGGAGGGTAGGGGGGAGATGGAGAATAGGCACATTCTGTCCACCTTCTTCTTGTCCCCCCACCCGCTGCTTTTCTAGTAGTCTGACATTTAAAAGAGCTGGAGGGCACAAAGCTATGTTTGTATCTCCCTGATGTTTAGTGTTCTGGTTTCATTTTTGCAGGAATTCCTCAGTAAAAAAGCATGCTTCATGTGTTAAAAAAAAAATAGAAAAGAAAACCCAACCAAACCACTAAAAAAAACCCCATATAAAATAAAATAGTTTTTTAATAGCTCAAAATATAATTACTGGAGGACTTGGTGCGTTTTAGGGAATTATTTTGCTCTAAACTTCTTTAATTTGGTTTCTTTGTGCCTTTTGGCTGTCGTCCTGCATTTACAGCTTTTCTTCCATTCTGATGTTACTCCATTAATCATTTATCCAGTGGTGTTTCTGCACATTTCTGTGGAAAATCTACAGACACACTCTTGCTCTAGCAGTACTTAAATGAACTTTTTTGTCCTGAGGTTATGTAAATTGTCCTAGGTTATTGCAAATCATCCTTTTCTAGGATTGCTGCCAGAATGAAAATCTTGACAAAACTGACAGTTGATCTGATTCTGGTGCAGTTACTTCTTTGTTCTTTTTGCTCATTCACAGGGAAATGCAAGTTACAAATGCAGCAATGTAGCCAAACTGTTTGAATGGATAACTTGTGATTTTTAAGTGATTGCAGATATGCTCAGTCTTACAGCTGCTGATTTGTCAATCAGTTGCTAATTCTGTTTTCCAAAATGTAGATGAATGATTGAGGTAAAACACCTGAGAGTTTTAAGCATCTTTAATATTTAATGGGAAGTGTAAAATACATATGAATATTAAGTCATGTTGTCATTGTCTAAAGAAAAATAAATAGATCAGTTAGGGTCTAAGAAATGTCACCAGGTTTTTTTAGAAGGATGTAAGAAGTTCATGTCTATTTGTGAAAGATGTTCCGCTTGGTCAGACAGTGGTATGGAATGGAGCAGTGATGTCAAGCAAGTGGGATTCATTTGGGATTGTATCTTCAGGAAGATTAAAATGTTTTCAAAGTGTGTTTATGGTAAATGTGACTTGGGTAATTTAGCTGCTGGCCTTTCTGCTTTTGGGAACTCTTAAAGGTAAACAAGGTAATGTAAAAGGGATCCAGCTTTCCCACAGGTTAGTCTAATTTGCTGTTTGTTAAATTTGTTTATTTTCCCCCATTTCTTTGCAATTGTGATTTCTGGGAATGTTTTGTTAAGACTGTGGAATGATTTCTGGCAGTTACAGTGTTTCTCCAAAGCTTGTTAAGTAATTGACAACTGCTGGAGGCTGACAATAGATAGCTCACAGTTTAGCTCTGGCAGATGCAGCAAAGGAGATGTTTCCAAGATGCTGGTCAGATGTCATCATTGAAAGTCAGGGCCTTTCATTTTTTTGTGTGTCATTTTATAAATCTCAGAGACGAGATTGCTTTTTCCAGGTGAACTTTTGTTTTGCACTGTGACTTCTAGCCTTTCCTTTTAATCAAGAGTGGAAGTGGGGGGAAAAGATCAAGAGGCAGAAATAGCAGGAAATGTTCTTTTTCTGAACATTGAGTCATTGGTGTGTTTTTGTTGGGTTTTGGTGTTTTGTTTGTATGGTGAGTTTTTCTTTCTCACTCCCTAAGGTTAAGCATTATTGTATGCTTGACAGAAGCTTGGAATTTTGCTTGAGGCCATGAGAATATTTCTAGATCCCACAGGTGATACCTGCTCTGTTTATGGAAGCTACGCAGAAGACCAGGTTTTGCACCACAGTGGTCTGGTAATTAGTATTGTTTAGAAGTGGAAATTCAGAATAATGCTGCAAACTGGTCAGAGACCTACAGGTACTCGCATGGATGTCCCATGGAAAGGGAGCTCACATTCTGCTTTAAGCCAAGAGAAACAAACTTCCCATTTATTCAAGGAAAACCAAGTTTAAAAGCCCACTGCTTAGAACTAGGGTGTGAGGTAGGTAGGTTGAATATTAAGTCAGCTCAAAAGCTCCAGTTCAGTCTAGAGGGGTTTCAGAAGTTTAACCAGAACTGCTAAGCCAACTTACTCTGTCTTTGCTGCTGTTTTTGACCTCTCGTTATAGACAGATCTACTTTTGCATGTCTAGCTGGAGCAGCTTAAGAAATTATCACTTCAGCAGTCAAAGCGTTGTTGCTAATTGTTTAAACACTCTTCTTCTCCTTTAGGGCTTAGTAAAACAGGTTTTAAAAACCTTAAATTACTCTAGCTACATTTCCAAGTCCAGGATCATGTGTTATCCAGTGTGAGAGTTAAGAAATTATTTTCACTTTTTCTCTCCTTTGTGTAGTGTAGGATAAAAAAATGTTGAAATAGGACCTGTTTCACAAAGATATTGCTTCCCACAAATAGAAACACTTTGGTGAAGCACTTAAGAATGTTATTCTTGTTGACAGTGTTTTGATTTAAAAGGTACTGACTGTCGTGCATTATTTGCAAGTCTTCCCCAATTGATAACATCTGCAGATTTCATGTGTTGATGAGTTTCCTATAGTTGGCCATGCCCTGACTCTTCAGTAATATTGAGAAACTGAGTATTCTCCACAGGTCTGTGATCCCTCAGTGGTAATCAACAGCTCACATCATCCAGTCTCTTTAGAGGAGCCTTTGGAACAGCTGATTGCAGTGGCCATAGGCTATGTAATTTTCCTTCTGATGCTCCTCTGTGTTGCATATCACATCACTGGAGTGCAATCAGGCTGTAATCCAGACTGAAATTTCATGCCTACATTTTGTTTCCTCAGTACCTGGAACATGTATTCTGCTTTCTTCAGCTTTCTGGAGAAGTTTCTCTCACATCTTAGTTTTGTATCTTGGATTTGCCCATCCTCTTTATTTCCAATGTTTGTACCATTTTTGTGGGTATTCAGTATTAAACATAGAAGGCAGTTATAAAATTTGACAAGAAGTTGAGAATTAAGTACTGTCTTATGGGAGCTCATGAAACATAGTAAAGGTTTATTGGTTTTAGCACACTTTTTGGTTGTTTTCTACTAACTAGTTCTCCTATAAATGTTCATCTAATGCGGATGTACAGGGTATTTGGCCTGTGTTAGTTACTAAATACTGAGTTCCTCCTGAAAATTGGCAATAATTGGCTCTTCCTGATAAAAAAATGGAGGAGACTGGGATGGTGGAACTTCCTTGCTCAAAGCAGGTGTTTTGTTTTTTTTTCTGGATGGTGTAAAGTTATAAATTATGAAAGAAAGATTGCACTCCTGCATTCACAAACCCAGAGCAATGCCCAGGGCTTGCAAAATCATTCCCTCATTTGCTCCAAGTGCTCTGCAAACTGAGCAGAGGACTGAAGTCACTAGGCCCTGAAACTTACAGCTTTCACTGACATTAAATTCCTCTGCCATTTCCTGTTAAACAGCTTTGTCTCTCATTCCTAAAATATTGTGTGGTGGATTTGTAACAGGAATATGATGAGGAATGGGCTAAAAAAATCCAGAGTGAGAAATTCAGGTGGCACAACTCGCAGTGGCTGGAGATGGTGGAGAGTCGGCAGATGGATGACAGTGAGCAGTACCTGTATGGGGATGATCGGATTGAGCCCTACATCCATGAGGGGGATATTCTGGAAAGACCTGACCTCTACTACAATGCAGGTAAGGCAGAATGTATTATGATTCAGGATAGGGATTCCTACTTCTGTGTCAGCAACCTGGGGCTGTAAAGAGAATCCACTGACTCAAACCAGGGGACAGTTACCCTTTAGTGTCACTGGGAACAGTGCTGATACACACTGTAGCCAGGGATGGGATGGGTCTTGTTAGAATGTTAGTGACAGATTGAGTACTCTATATCCATCACCTTACCAAGGTTACAAGTCTTCAGAAATATCAGCAGGCTTATCTCAGAGAGCTACTGGAGCATGAGGAGTTATTTCAATAAAGGTGGCCTAGCCTTGTTCTTCATACCTATTTTTTTTTTGTGTTCATTGTTTGTTTGCTTTGCAAACACAAACACTTTCTCATCCCTGTTAAATTCACAGCTATGCAATTTGATGTTGTTTTTTTTCTCCCTTGTGTGTTAGTTGGAATGGATGGAAAATAGATATTTTTTTTAATTGCAGATCTTGATGAAAAACTTCAGTTGATTCCACCGAACTTGCAGTTTTCCTTAGCAGAGGTGGTCATTCTGTGACTTTCAGCTAATCTGCTTCTATGACTTTTGCTGTCATATATCTAGGGAAGTGTATGAATCTCTCATGTAAATAGTTTGGGTTTTTTAGTTCTTTTTATGAAAAAGTTCTCTTACTTGACAATTTGAAGGAGTTAGTTAAAAAAACAAACTAAAAAGAAAAATTCACTTACGAGGAGTGATATTCTTATTTGAGATTAACACTAGTACAATTTCTAAAGATAAAAACATTTCTCACTCTTTTGCTTAAACCTATTAGTGCATAAAGGTACAGTTCTTGGGGGGATCCTAGTTACTTTTAGTAACTAGGAGTTTGCTTATGCTCTCAAAGTTGTGGTTTTATATCCTTTTTGAACTCCTGGACAACTGTGTGTGCATGTATTTTATTTTTTTTTTTGTATTTGCTGGGTTTGAGTCTGTGGTTTTTTATTTTCCACAGAAGTGCCCAGTCCTTTGCTGTGAAGCATGAGTCACAAAACTCTGTGACTCTGGATGAACTAGCAGGAATAGTAATGAGAAAAACAAACCCACTAAAACCTATAAGCTTTACTTGTAGTTGCTGTGAGGAAATAATTGTGCAAATCTCAGTAGCATTTCAAAAATTATTCTTTAAGTTTATCAGAACTTAAGGATTCTCCTATATTTTATTACGTATGTGAGCCATAGCAACTTGCACATTTCATGGTACATTTTTCCCATTAGAATCCTGTAGGTTAATCTTGCTCTACTAGGTTAATCTTGCTCTACTAGGTTAATCTTGCTCTACTAGGTTAATCTTGCTCTACTAGGTTAATCTTGCTCTACTAGGTTAATCTTGCTCTACTAGGTTAATCTTGCTCTACTAGGTTAATCTTGCTCTACTAGGTTAGCAGTGAGAGCTATGTGTTAAATGGTACCAGAGTCTTTTTCAGGATTGCTAAGTTGAAGAGGTGCCAGCGTGCCTGTTGCAGTCTGCCCTTTACAGGTCTTAATAATGAACCTTTGCTGATTTCATAGGGCCATTTATTTTCCCAATAGTGTGAGCTAGAGATGGAGTGGCACCAGTAACGCTGAATTTCCTGGCTCTTACTCGTTCATGTTACAGGCTTAGTGTTATTTGAACAAAGATTTTTGTGTTGGAATTGATATTCGACCAAGAAGGAGAGGCAGATTTCCAATGATATGTTCTGCAGATGTTTGAAAAGTGCTTTTGTTTTTAAGGATATAAGAGTAGGTGATTATATTCAAAATACAGATTCACTTCTCGGGTTCCTTCTGACAATGCCAGGAATGGCAGCTTCTTGATGTCTGCTAGATTTATACTTTTGAGATGTGGCCAGAGGGGACATAATATTCATTTGAAAAGGCAGTGGATTATTGTACCATTTGTAGTAGGTATTTGGGTTTCCAAAGGACAGTGCATTACTTTTAAAAAAATAAAAAGACCAATCTTTGTGCAGTCAGAAATGAAATGTTTGTACTTGAGTTTGGTAGTTAAAGAAATGACCTGCACTGATGGTCAGTACAAGTCCCCCCTCAGCCATAATAGTCCTGGAGTTCACTGATGCTCAGATGAGTTCCTGATTGCAGTAATACACCAAACATCTCTCTTGCATGGTAATTTAAATCTACCTTGAAAGTTGGTAAAATCTCTGGAGTTACCTTCATGAGCTCGGTGTCTTTCTTGCTCTGAAAGTACATAACCCTAATTTATGTTGAAATGTACATAACAACAGATGTCCTTTCACTGTGTAATGATACTGTATGCAGCTGATGCTATCCATGTGCTTTCATTTTCCTATGAATTCATGTGAGCCATAACTCTTGAGTGTTATGGTTTGAATGTTAGCACTCTTGATTGAAGACACTTTAAATAGTGGTGGCTTTAGCCTCAGAGTTAGAATGTAGTGCTTTATTAATATAAAGATAGACATTATGTTTTTAAGTCTTTCTGCTTTCAACCAAGTTTTAATCCAACCTGACTGTTTAAAATACATAGTCATATATATGGATTGGTTTTGATCTGAAGTGCTGCAGGTATAAAAGTGCTAATGTTCCCCCTCATTTCTTTTATGTGAAAAATACAGAATAGGTGGTGAGATAGGAGAACCTGGCACAAGTGTTAACAGTAGCCTTTTCAACTTTCCTTCTTCTTCTTTGGCCATTTTAGATCCACATGGTACCACAGAGCACTCGTGTCTATCTGAATATGCTGAAAGGCAGCAGTATTGATCTGTGCCAGATTATTTGCTTGTCAAGCAGTACCCTTTCACATACTGTATACACATGTATACACTTAGAGAATAGCCATGTACATCTATCTCATGCTGCTAAAAATGCAGTCTGATCGTGGCTAGCATTTTTCATTTACAGTCTGTAGTGTTATATTCAGTCACTTTCCCATGGGGAATTATCTTCTAAATGAATCTCTGTAGCACCTCATCAAATGTCTGTTAGAAATCTAGATGTGTCAATTCGATTCCTTTTATCATATGTCACTATATTATCTTCAAAAAACATCAGGTAAATTCATAAAGCACAGGGAGATTTGTTTGAATGCCTGAGTTGTCATCTCTAAGCCTTTGTGTCTGTAAGTAACTTTCCACTGCTTCCTGCATGGGCAGTTTTAGTAGTTTTGAAACCACAGAGGTTAAGCTAAGTGGCCTGTGACTCCCTGGATCTTATCTCTCTTTCTTTAAAGTGGAATGGCATTTGTAACTTCCTAGTTATTAGGAATCTCTCTCTTTCCTCTGTTAAACTATTAGAGTATCAATCTGAATGTACCTGTTTCTGCCCTGTTTTTATTGGGATGTTTTCTGCACTGCAAGTTTGGGGTTGTTTTCATACAGTAATGGGGACAAAACAATGTAGGGTCTGTTTTAAAGAAAGAGCTTGTTTTATCTGATGAGCCTAGTATTAGTTACCAAGTAAGAACTGTGCCCTTAATATTAAAAAGAAGTGTGTTTTGTGAATGGGAGCAGGAAAGAGTTAAGCTGGGTCCTCATTTAGCGGGGGTCAGTTCACAGACTCTACTTCAAAGACACTCTGGATTTACACTGATGTAGGAGAGGGAAAATGTTAGCCCTTGATTTTCTTCCTTAAAAAGCAAGCGGAGACTGCGAAACCTTGAAGGAACACTACTGGCTTTACAAATGTTGGCATCTTCATATGCCAGTGTTTTAATGCAAAGAAAGCAAAAAGAAAACTGTAAGCTAATGTTCTTGAGAGGATATCATGTGAAAAGACCACCCATTGAGAATCATGGAATTGTTTTGGTTGGAAAAGACCTTTTAAAATCATGAAGTCCAACCATTAACCCAACACTGCCAAGTCCACCACTAAACCATGTCCCAGAGCACCACATCTACACATCTTATAAATAGCTATAAGACAGGGAAATATGAGGGAGATGAAAGAAATAGGTTTGAAGTTGCTTTCCTATTTTTCATAACCTGTTCTAAAAGAGTGAGTGGTGAAAGGTTGAGTCTGAACAATTAAGGCCTTTGCTGCTTTCATACTCTTATGCTACTGGCACAGATTAATGCTTGACCCTGCTCATTACTTCTTCTCTGGGCTCACTTTCATGATGGGAGAGACAAAATGGGACTCTTCCTAAAGAAGGAGTAAGATAATATTTCTTAGGTACAGCTTTTTTTCAGGGTAGTTGGCTGAACTACTTGGAGTCTCAGTGAGGCTTTTTTTGTAATTGAAGTTGCTGTTTCTCAGTATTACTGTTGCTTGGCATTCCACCCAGAAATATTTCAAGTTGCTAATGAATTCTTAGAGAAACCAGCACAGGTTGTCTTGCCTTCTTGCCCTGAAGTCATGCTCCTTCATGCAGCCACTC